TTTGTCAGAGATAATGGTGTTTATCATATTTTGATGATGAAATGAGAGTTTTATGGATTTTATTTGTATAGATGATAAATGATCAAATGATCATTTGAAAAAATTAATTCATGGCTTCTAGAGTGAGGAAGGAAGTTGTATTGACTCATGATATTAAAAGTGATAGGTGTTGGAAATCTACCAAAACCTATGATGAATTTCTGGAAATCGTGATGAACAAGATTGTTATCACCATACAATGACAATGAAAAATATGAAAGAAAGAAAGAAAGAGAAGATAATGATTTTCTGCATAGTTTCTCTCTGCCTACAAATTATAGAAAACTTTATTATTCATTTGCAACTACAAATTATGCGAATACAACTTAATTACAAAAATAAGGGTTACTCTCACTATTTTTAGATTTAGGTTATCTTACTCTCTAAGTCAAAGCCCAAAACTATAAAAGGCCAAAATGCCTATTTTGGAAATAAATCAAATCTATCTATTTTATATCTAAATCAAAGCTATCTATTTTAGACCTAAATCAAATATGTGTATAACAAAATGCTTCCACGCTTCAATAGACTAATTCTACACACCTTGTGCCAAGCAACAACCTACTTCAACACAAGGAATTACACTTTCAACACACCACTTAATTCACTGTGTCTAAGCTATCTATATTCATAATAGCTCTTAGTCTTCTGAATACTTCGACCTATACACCCTTCATCATGATGTTTGCAATCTAATTCTCAATTCTGCAGTGTTTCAAGTTCATATTCCCATCTGCTACCTGCTCTCGAAGATAGTGAAACCTCATTTCGATGTGCTTGCTTCGACCATGTTGTCACATCCCAAAATTTTCCCTCATAATTTTTGTTATCTGTCTTAGGTTTCGCATTGCATTTGCATATATTTCATCAGGTCACTAACATAGCAAATATTTTGCATTTCAATAAAGCACATGAGGTTCAAAAGATCAGTGGTCGTGCAATATTAGGGTTTTATAGTGGTTAAGGCATTCATATCTAATAAAGGTTGATTCCTTCTTCAAGCATTAAATAGAGGAATTAAGGTTATGATTTGTGGTTATTGAGAATTTCTTTCTCCTCAAGCTACAAGGCTATTATTTCCATATCAATAGCAGGTCGCAAGGTTTTTCTCTTTAGAGCCATGAATCTAGGGTTTATATCCTATTATACTCTGGTTTGTCAATATTTTCACTGGATGTTTGATGGATAGAAAGACATGATAAAAGGGGGGTGTTGTGAATTCGTTGTGATCAAGGGTATTATCATTCTCAATTGTTTGATTGCAAGTTAGCTCAAGTGTGAGAATTGAAATTAAGGTTTCTTCAAGATATGGTACTTTGTGAGTTCATTGGTTACCAATTCAAAGTTTTATGGATTGAATTGCAAAATATTAAATCATGACTCAAAGGATAATTTTGTGGGTTCATTGTTATACTTGTTGCTCACGAGACAAACAAATGCCAATTGCGTGATTTTGTTAATTGAAGATTGATTTAGAATTTTTCATCCAAGTTTTATTTGTGTTCCAGGTTAAGAGTTGAATGAAATTCATATGGAATACAAATTACATGTTGCAAAAATATCATGGTTCATCCAAGTTCACCATATTGCATTCCAAGTTCCGATCATAATTTCATTCACACATTAAAAATAATCCAAAATCTATAGCTTGATATCAAAGCAATCAAGAAGTAGATTGAAGATCTCATCATTCGAGACTACTTAGACATGAATAAATATAATCCAAACACCTTCAAATATTTGGCGTAGGAAAAGGTCGTGATGTATAGAGTGGTGCGAGTTGAGAAAGCTACTTAAATAATTGAAATTATCTGAATTTGATTCTTAAGGAAGTACAAATGAAAATTCCCAAGGTTATACAATTATGTAAATTAATATAGTAGGTATATTAAATCAATGATTGGAGAATCTGAGTAGCTAATTTTCTTGCACACATGAACAGTTAGCTATAGTTGTCATTTTATTTGTGTCCATATATTATAGAACGAGGCTTAGAATATTGATGTCCATATATTATAGAATGAGACTCAGAATATTGATGTTTTTGATCCTGATACTTAAAAAGTAAGTAATAAAATGTATGTAATTAACTTAATTGTTTGCTTTAACTTACTTACAATTTTTTATCATACTTATTTACTATTACATAAATTATTAAATTTAATGAATTTCTCATAGTTATTAATAGTATTTTCACTTTTCAAGGCAAAATCAATTTTTCACTATGCTCAATGCAGATTGATCTAAAAGGTTGCATTGAGAGGTAGAAAAACTTTCAATACAGTCACGGAAACCCTAATTTTATAAATTCTAATTCTAATTTTTAATATTTTTAAATCTGAGTTTTTATATTTCTCTACTGATAAGTGATAACTACAATAATAAAAATGAAATTATTATTTAATATTTTAATTGATGATGAATATAATTATTTATTATTTCTTTCATTTCACCATAAATATCAATTTCTTAAAAAGAAATAAAAGAAAAAGTGATTTTTAAGTATGTATTTTATAAGTGTATTTAATCTTATAAAATAAATAGTCTATTTAAATTTTGTCTTTGATTAATTTATTTTGTTCTTTTTTGTAGATATATGTAAAATACCTCTGTAAAAACATAGTTTAAAATTTGATTTTTTTTAGATATAAAGTTTTTCTTTTATCTTAAACTTTAAAAAAAAATTATTTTGTAAGAAATAAAAAAGTTAATATATAACTCTTAATATTTGATATTATATTTTTAAATACGCATAAACATATTAATTATCATTTATTTTAAAATTGAAAAAATGTATGTTATTAAAACTTTAATGTTATTACAATAGATAAATGATACAATTTAAATTTATAATATTCTCGATCTGATAAATGATACAATGGAAAAAAATTATTTTTAAAATTTAGTGAGTAAATCTTGATTGTTTAATATATTAACATTTAGTGAGTACATATTAAAATTTATATTAAAATTATTTTTATATTATTATATGTTTTGGACTGACCCGAAAGTTTGAGTGGACTCAGTCTAAGACATCTCATAGGTGTCACTCACTGACCGTGATCCGGACTGCCTGCACCTGTCGGACAATATCATCCTCTTACTCTTCTGGTTCATCACCGGTCTAAGATGTCCATCGAGCGTCTTCTCAGCCTGCCTGACACCAACGTCGTGCAGACCATCAGGACCGATCAGAGAGATGCCCGCAACCAGCCTCCTCCCCGGAACCAACGGCTAGTTACAAGTACATCTGTCTGATTTGACCAAGTCCTGACAGTTACCTGATTTTCTGGACCCGCATATCTAGAGAGAAAATCAGGAACCAATGGTCACGCGCCATGGGCATTATATAAACCCTCACACCTGTGAGGCACAAGTATCACATTTTTACTACTCATTACCTGATATTCTGTTAGTACCTCCTTACTATCACTCTTACTTGATCGTTGGAGTACCTTGCAGGTACAACTCCCTCTATCCTCTGGCCGACTGAAGATCATCCTCCGGTCACTCTCCAGATTCTGGTCAACCGCACGATCAACATATCTTAAATGAAATTCTTAATATATATATATATGAGCAAAATTCTATATGTTGATAAAAATATTTTTATAAATGAAAATAAATTATAATAATTTTTATAAATGAGAGTAAGTTACAAATATTTGTATAAACGAAAAAAATTAAACTAATTATACAATTTGTTTTATAAATGGCGCAAAATAAATTTTTTTTAATTTATAAATAGACACATCCAAAACGCTTGCTATGTTTGTAACTATATAAATGTTAATCAAGTGAATAAATGTATATAAACTTGTCAAACGAGACTGAGAGACGTATAATGTGTATACAAACTTGTTATTGATATTTTTTTTAATTGAAAATCATATCATATCCGGAAATATTTCTATATGATATTTGACTGTATCAGATTTTTCCTGATTTAGTTGAATTTGTGTCGTAACACATATTCTGTTGAAATTTGGGAAAAATTTCTGTAATGAATGTTTGTTGAAATTTTAGAAAGAATTTATGTAATCAAGCTTATTGTTAGAGTCTACAATGCTCAGAATTTAACTAATGTTAAAAGACCTATATATAAGAAATATTCATGTTATACTATAAACACAAATAACTCATTATTTTAACTAATTTCAACTATATAACTTATTTCAAGATACCGTAGAGTGTAAATATTCATTTAGAACTGAAATTTGACGAAGAGCTGTCATACATTGTAGGTTTGTAAAAATTATAAATATGATATAATAAGAAATATTTAAAACCGATATTTAATGGAAGCTGTCATAAATTTTAGGTTTGAAAAAATTGACAAATATCTAAAAAGTAATTTTATTTGAATTGAAAAACGATTTTATTCAAATGTGTAATTCTAAAATTAACTTATCTAAATTCAACTGAGTTTATTAACGCATCTAGATTCACATGTATATGTAAATATATCTATGAGATATCAGCGGTAGACGAATCATTTTAATGTTTATCTTTTAATTATTTCTTTTATTGTTATTATATATAATTGAAATTATAAAAATAATTATACAATTTATTATAAATAAATGAATACTTAAAAATTAACCGGAAAAAACATGTAATATGAATTTTAATTCATTATAGATATTACGGATTTGTTACTGGCGTTAAAAAAACAAAATTGCGAAGTCCACATACATTAACTAACTGATTAATCATTTAACTAATAGTAGTAGTATAATAATATGAAGATTGGGAAGGTATGGTGAAGTTTGAACATCTGGAATCTAAATAGCTTGTTCAGAAAAACGTGTCGACACAAAAAAACAAAAAGCAAAACAAAAGCAAGCAAGTTACTCCAAATCCATCTTCTTCCACATCTTTCTTTTTTCCCTATCTTGTTCAAATCCAAATCCCTAGATTCAATTTCAATCTTCAAATCCATTTTAGCATCCCCAATAACAATGGATCTAGCTCCTGAAGAACTCCAATTCCTCAACATCCACAACATCTTAACCGAATCAATCTCAATCCCCAAAACTTCCCCTAAAACCTTCTACCTAATCACCCTAACCCTAATTTTTCCCCTTTCGTTCGCTATTCTAGCTCATTCCCTTTTCACACATCCCTTACTTTCCCATCTTCAATCTCCTTTCACTGATCCCTCACAAACCTCTCATGATTGGACTCTCCTCCTCGTTTTTCAATTCTTTTACCTCATTTTCCTCTTCGCTTTCTCTCTCCTCTCCACCGCTGCTGTTGTTTTCACCGTTGCTTCACTCTATACATCTAAGCCGGTCTCTTTTTCTTCCACTATGTCCGCTATTCCCAAAGTTTTTAAGAGATTGTTCATTACTTTCTTATGGGTTACTCTTCTTATGACTCTTTATAATACCATCTTTGTTTTCTCTTTGGTTCTTCTTATTATTGCCGCGGATACGGATAATACGTTTTTGTTGTTTTTCTCTATTATTGTGATTCTCTTGCTGTTTGTTGTTGCTCATGTTTACATTACTGCATTGTGGCATTTGGCTAGTGTGGTTTCTGTTTTGGAACCTGTTTATGGTTTTGCTGCTATGAAGAAGAGTTATGAGTTGTTGAAGGGGAGGGTTAGGTATGCTGCGGTTTTGGTTTGTGGCTATTTGTTTATCTGTGGGCTTATTGCTGGGGTGTTTAGTGCCGTGGTGGTTCATGGCGGGGATGGTTATGGTGTTTTTGCTAGGATTGTTATTGGTGGCTTCTTGGTTGGTGTGCTTGTTATTGTCAATTTGGTTGGGTTGTTGGTGCAGAGTGTGTTCTACTATGTTTGTAAAAGTTATCATCATCAAGGGATTGATAAGAGTGCTTTGCATGATCATCTTGGTGGCTATCTCGGAGAGTATGTGCCTCTTAAGAGCAGTATCCAAATGGAAAATTTGGATGTATGATTTATGGGATGATTACAAGAGGGTTTCATTTGTGAGTTTATTTTCTCTGTTATTATATCATGTAATGAAATTCTGTAAAACGGTTCCAAGAAAAGACTAATCAAAGATTGTGTGTTGGTTCATTTTCTTTACTTGCTTATTCTAGTGTTTTAGTACTTTCCTTTTTAATAAACTATGTGAACCAATCCTTGTTTAGCAGCTGCAGTATATCACTAGTTCTTCTCTCATTACTGTGTTCTTATACAATGGCTGTGTCCATATGTTATCATCCAATTAATAGAATAAATGGTGTTTTCTTATATTCAAACACCAAACATATGGCTTTGTTAGCTTTTTTTCTTTCACTTATTAATGATTGAAATTCAAAGTGTGTGTTATTTATTTGTGGCCATTTCTTCTTTTGCATTGAGCTGCATTAGAATTATCATTGGCGTTCTCCCATGGTGTACCTGTTTATCGAATTAATTAGGTTTGAGCTTTTTGTGCAATTGAATGAATCTGAAATCTCATTGTTACTTGGCCTTTTTTTCTAATTATTTCTGCCAATGGTCACTCGAATCTACTTTAATATATAAAAACTAATTACCATAAAAAATACTTTATTATTCAAACTAAAGCAGTTTTAAGAGTGTTTTTCATGCCTCTTAATGGAATTATCTATTAAAATCATTTATTTACCTTAAATTCTAATTAATTATAATATCTTTATTGGAATAAGTAGTATTATAGATTACAATATGTGGCGTTTATCATTTCTAGCATTAGGAAATACTACCAATTTGATAGCATAGTGTTTAAAACACCAACCCTTCTAATTCTTGAATCGACATTTATAAATTTATTCCTCTGACCTGCACCTATCTAACACTTTCTTTTCTGTCATTCAGTATCTACCTTCTTCACTATCTCCATTCCCTAATTTTCTTCACTATCTCCATTCCCTAATTTTCTCTTCCTTTCATTTCATCGTATCATCTCATTCGATAAATCTAATCTCATCAACATACTATCTAATCTCATCAACATATTTGTTTTTTCTATTAAAAATCGTTATTCACTATATACTTTCTCAAACCCTACCATGGCCACTAAAATAGTCACCAAAGTCTCTCTTCTCCTTGATTCTGCAACAATCGTTGGTAAATTTTGAAGCACAATACACATATTCATTAGGTTAACCATAGTTATATTATATATATATTTATATATATTATTGTTAGTGTTCAAACCCTAACCGTTTTAATTTGCTTTTTCTCGGATTTAGAAACTCAGCAAAGGCAGATTTATTTTCAATGTTTCCTTCCTTTCTTCTTGTTCTCTATCTTTTATCACTTAGTTATTAATTTTGTTTTTTTATTTTGTTTTCTTTGTCTCATTTATTTCCTTTTGCTTCATATGTTTTATATTTTTTTCTACAGCCTGCTTGATTAAAATTTCAATCTTGATGATTCAATTTTCAAAAGATCAGGACTTGCACCGAGATGAAGAATATGAAGCGAGTTTCAATATAAATATGTTTTCTTAGAGAGAAAAAATTTAATAAGATGAATATTTTACTCTATTTGTTTACTTTTGGAGCTGAAATATTAATCTATTACTCCGTAAATAAACCACTTCATCCTAAGATCTGTAAAAAATATGAAAAATCTATTCATCTTGTTTTCAAGATCTAATGTTTTTTTGTTTACGGAAAAACCAATACAATGTTTAGTTTCCTCTGTTTTGTTTCCTCCATTGTTATGTCATTGATTTTGTCATAAATCGGAAATTATTATAATAAGATTATTATAATTTTGTTGTATTTATTGTTGGAAATCCACCAAAAGACTATGATGAATTTCTACCACAATGACGATTAGTTATGAGAAAAACAAAGAAAAGAAGACAAGACAAATATTTCTGCAGAGTTTCTCTCTGCCCACAAACTGTGGAAAATTTTCTTAATCACTTGCAACTGCAAAATCTGTGATTACAATGAATTGACTTACTTGACTTCTTTCAAAAATAGAGGTCACTCCCTCTATTTATAACTGAGCTTACACCCTAAGCGCAAAGCCCAAAATATCTTTTTGTTACTAAATCAAATCAAATCTATTATGGACTTAAATCAAATCTATTTAAATCTAAAATAAATCAAATCTTCTTTGACACATATGAATTACAATTTAACACACCACCTAGTTCATTGTGTCTAAACTGTCTATGTTCATCATGACCCTTAGCTTTCTGAATACTTCGACTTGCACTCCCTTCGTCATGATGTCTGCAATCTGATTCTCAGTTGTGCAGTGTTCCAAATTCATCTTTCCATCTGCTACCTGCTCTCGAAGATAATGGAACCTCATTTCGATGTGCTTACTTCGACCATGTGCTATTGGGTTCTTTGCCAAATTAATAGCTGACATGCTGTCTATCTTCATGGTAATTGTTCCATGATCTTTCCCTGTTATCTCTTCGACCAAGTTCACCATCCAGGTTGCTTGACATGCACAAAGAGAAGCAGCTATGTATTTGTTGGCTGAAGATTTTGATAATATTATTAGAAGCCAAATGAATTGAACGTTTCGATCGAAATGAAACAAAGCGTCATGTTTCGAAGTAGCAGAAGCAGTGTTTCGAATAAGCATATCAAAGCTTGGAGCTTCGAGTGGCAATTATGGGAACATATCTAAAGAAGTCTCGAAACGACAACAAGGCTGTGTCTGAGAAGTGCGTTCGAAGCGGAGAAGTACCAAAACATTTGAAATTCAAATGCAAGCGGGACATTTGAAGTTTGAAATTTATGTGCTGGAGCATTTGGAGACACGTGGAAACAAGAGAGAGACATTGTTCTGCATGTTCTGAACGTGGCATAATCTTATAGCAAGACCGTTATGGTCGAATTAGTATAAATAGAAGTCTTAGTATTAGGATTTCGTGTGTCATATCTATTGTACTAAATACTCAGTAAACATTCAAATTACCACATGGCTAGGGAAACGAATGCAAGAGCAATGTACGTATGATAGCACCACATGTTTATGTTTTAATGAAAACCTTTTATCATTTCCAGCACTTTCCTTTATCTTTCTGCCAAATACCATTTACAAGTTTTCTCATTTAAAGTCTTTTTATTTCGAAATCTTTTCATTGAAGCCTTACATTTTAATGCTTTCTTTACATTTCAAACACTTTACATTTCAGAAAACTGTCATACTTTTCATGCCTTTATCTTCAAGTTTTGTCTTTCGAAAGCCTATTTTTACTTAAAGTCATTTACAGATTTCTTGCATTTAACGCTTTCTTTATATTTCGAATCTTTTACGTTCCAGAGCATCTTTTACATTAACTGTTTTTATAATTCGAAGCCATTTACTTGCCTTTTATGCAATTTTACATGTCTTTACAATTAACATTTATTCATGCAAGTTAGTTTCGCGCACATACATTTTGATTACACCTTTAGATCTGTAAGGGAGAAATCGAAATAAGTCAAACACCTACACAACACTCAAATACCAACCATGAATATCTGTTCGATCATGAGAGTTACCCTAATGACCAAGGAATCCTAGGATCAATCTAGTCGATCCTGTGAGTTACCAGAGAAATTGAATAACAGTCAGTAAGTTTATTCGATAGTTTGGAAGACTGGCGGTTGTTTACCAGAAATCACTGGAAACAGTATTCTACTTCGCATGACGATAATGCCACTACTGGTTCTTTTCTCGAATTCCAAGCAATTGGTGCACCACCTAGCATAAACACATATCCTGCTATTGACTTTCGATCTTCAGCATCACTACACCAACTCGAATCAGTGTATCCCACTAACTTGCATTCTTTTCCTTTATCAACTGCAGGAAACAAAATGCCATAATCGAAAGTTCCTTTGAGATACCTTAGTATCCTCTTCACTGCTGCTAGATGTGATACCTTTGGCTTCTGCATAAATCTACTTACCATACCTATACTGTATGCTAAGTCAGACCTTGTATGACAAAGATATCTTAATGATCCAATAAGTCTTCTGTATTGGGTTGGATCAACATCATCTTCATCTGTATCTTTCGACAGTTGCAGTCTTGGTTCTGCAGGTGTCGAAGTTGAGTTGCATTCTTCCATCTCAAACCTCTTGAGAATTTCTCCTGCATATCTTATTTGATGCATCATCAAACCTCTACTGCTCTTGTAGAATTCGATACCAAGGAAATATGAAATCTCACCCAAATCAGACATTTCGAATTCCTTGCTGAGATCACCTTTGAAGTCTTCGATCTCACTTTTACAGCTACCTGTTATCAACAAATCATCTACATAGAGACATAGTATAAGCAATTTACTCTTGCTTCTTCTTACATATACTCCGTGTTCAGTTGTGCACTTCACAAATTCCTTCTCCCTTAGAAAACTGTCAATTTTCTTATTCCAATCCCTTGGAGCTTGTTTCAATCCATACAGGACTTTATGTAGCCTGTACACCTTTCTTTCTTCGTCATGTTTCACAAAACCAACTGGTTGTTTAACATAGACTTCTTTTATCTAAGGGTCCATTTAGGAATGCACACTTCACGTCCATCTGACATATGTGCCAACTGTTGATTCCTGCTAGACCAACAACCAACCTGATTGTTTCGATCCTAGCAACAGGTGCAAAAACTTCGTCGAAGTCTATTCCTTCTTTCTGTAGAAATCCTTTCGCCACAAGTCTTGCTTTGTGTCGAGTTACTTCACCTTTTGAATTCGTTTTCACTTTGTATACCCACTTGACATCAATTTCCTTATTGCCTTGAGGCAATTCGACAAGTGACCAAGTGTTGTTGTCTTCGATAGACTTTACTTCTTTGTTCATTGCTTTCACCCACTTCGAATCCTTTAATGCTTCAGCTGCATTAACAGGTTCGACATCTGCATAGAAAGCATAATGTACCAGCTCACCTTCATTATCTATTACATCATCTGATGTAATCACACAATCTTGCAATCTTGCAGGCATGCGTCTTGTTCTTTGAGGTCTGCTT